GCTGACAGCCAGCGCCAGGCGGGACGTGCGGCGGTGCAGGGCGCGCAGCGGGAACACCGTCACGTACCAGCGGTCCACGCTCATGGCGGTCAGAGTGGCGCACGTGGCCTGCACCGAGACCTGCGGGGCCCGCCAGCCGGGCATGTGGCCACCTGCGCGGTTGGGAGCCTGTCCTGTCGCCCGCCCTGCCGGTCCCCCTGCGTGTGCGAACGCTCGGGCACGGGATGTGTCCCGGGAGGGGTGTCCAAGGCGGGTTGAGGGGACCAGAGGGTTGGGGAAGTGAGGAAGCCCCTGGGGGCGGCTGGGACCCTGAGTCTAAGACAGGAGGGCTTCGTAGAGCGGAGGGACAGGCGGGCAAAAAGCCTCAGGGCCTCGGTCGTCCTTCCTCACCAGTGACCCGGGTCTCCGTCTGTATCTCCATCCCACCGTTCGGGCTCCGCACTCCACGTCTAGGCTGCACCCGCGCCCAGCCGCGTCCCTCAAGCTGGGGTCTCCAGCCCCTGGTTCTCCTATACATTGCCCCGCGCGCTCCGCCCAAGGTCGCCCCGCCAAGTGCGCCCACCCTCCCTACATTCACTCCCCTCCCCTCCTGCTCCGGAGCGCACCCCCTCCCCGTCCCCACGTTCGCCCCCTCCCCTCCTGCTCTGGAGCTCACCTGCTGGATGTAGTTAACAAACTTGCACATGAAGTCGCCTAGCACCCAGGCGGGCAGCGGGTACAACAGGGCCGTGAAGGGGACGCAGCACAGGAGGAAGGTCAAGTCCGTGGCTGCCAGGTTAGCTGCGGGGGGAACACGCGTGAGCGCTCCTGGCCGGCCATTGGGGTGGCTCAGGGAGGCCTCCCCGCAGAGCCCCCGGCCTCCTCGGGCAGCGGAGTTGGGACACTGTCCGGTAATTCCCGGTTACATCTCAGACATTACCTACTCCAGCTCGGGTTTCCTGGCCATTACGGCAGAAATCAGTTCTGGTTTTTTTGTTTGGTTTTTTGTTTTGTTTTTTTGAGACGGAGAATATATACATAGTTTGAGACGGAGTCTCGCTCTGTTGTCCAGGCTGGAGTGCAGTGGCCGGATATTGGCTTAATGCAACCTCCACCTCCCGAGGGTTCAAGCCATTCTCCTGCCTCAGCCTCCTGAGTAGCTGGGATGACAGGCGCGCGCCACCACGCCCGCCTAATTTTAATAATTTTAGTAGAGACGGGGTTTCACCTTGTTGGCCAGACTGGTTTCGAACTCCTGACCTCGTGATCCGCCCGCCTCGGCCTCCCAAACAGCTGGGATTACAGGCATGAGCCACCGCGCCCGGCCAGAAATCATTTCTGCTCGGCCGTGTCTGGGCTGGGGAAGCCCGAGCAGCCCCCTCCCCCCCCCGCCTCTCTGAGCCTCAGTTTCCTCATCTGCAAACTGGAGACAAGGGTGCCGGCCCAGCAGCCACCGACTGGACTCACAGCTGTGTGGGGTAGGGGACCCCGGGACACAAATGCATAAACAGGCTCAGAGAGCCACCGGAACAGGGGTCGCAAACTGAGACCTGCGGGCCAAACGCGCCCCAGCCCTTTGCGCCGCCGGCTCCCAGACTTTGGCCCGCGCGCAGGGCACCCGCTCGAGGTCTCCATGTGCCGCACTCCCCAGACTCCGGTCCGCTGGAGTTGGCGACCTCTAGCCTCAGGTATGGCGACCGCAGGGAAAAGATTCGGGGTGGGGGGAACCCCAGCGGTCCCCCCTGCGGGGGATAGAGCCGGGTCCGGGAGGGCCCCGGTGCGCCGCGCGCACTCACCGATGTAGAAGTTGGTCACCGTCCGCATCTGCTTGTGGCGGCAGATGACATAGATGACCAGCGAGTTCCCCACCAGGCCCAGCAGCATCAGCGCTGCAAAGAAGAGCGGCACAGCCCAGGAGTCCGCGAACCCCGGAGCAGGGACCCGGCCGTCGGAGGCGTTGGCGCCGCAGCCCGGGCAGCCTGAGGTGTTGGCCGGCGCCCACCAGGACGCGTTGGGCCCGGCTGTAGCCGCCGCGTGCATGGCCGCGCCTCCCTCCTCCTCCCGGCCGCCCTCCAGGGTTGCGCCCCGGCACCGCCCCAGACACCCCTCCGCCCTGACGCCGGGGGATACGCCCGCGGAGCCCTGGAAGGGTCTCGGCTGGAGGCGGCCGGGTCCGCGGGGCAGCTGGGATGAGCTCGGCGGCTCCTCTGCGGGCGCTGCTGCAGCCGAGCGTTTATAGCCCGGGCCCCGCCTTGTCCTTGCCTTCCCGCCTCTCCCGCAGCCGCTCGCCATTCCCTCCCCTGCCCACGCGCCCTCTATTACCCCAGCGGCACCCTCCCCATTCCACCCTCCCGGCGCACGGTCCCAGGGAGAGCGCAGGAGGGGGACTGAGAGGGGCGGAGCAGGCGCGGGGTGGCCGCGTGGAGGCCGCTGTGGGCCCGGAGAACCGACTTTAACCAGGGAGCCGAGCCCAGGCGCAAACCCTGAGACCTGGGAATGTGGGATGGCCTTTGACCCCCCCCCCCTTAGGGGCTGGGGCTCCAGGCGGGTGGGCCCAGGCTGGCGGGGAGGCCAGCTCTGAGCGGAGACCCTGAGTGAGGAGAGCCTGGGTTTGTCCCCAGGACCCTGGAGAGACGTGGAAGGTTGAGGGCAGGTGAGGGTCGTCCCAAATCTGGCGGTTTCCAGCTGAACATGCCCCACATGGGTGGCAAGGAGTGGCTGACACCTGCGGGGACACTAGAAGCAGGAACCAGGTGTAGGGCACCTTACAAAGGCCAAAACCTTATTGCCACTGAGACAGTTTTGCTGTTGCCAGGCTGGAGGGCAGTGGCCGGATCTTGCCTGGCTGCAACCTCCACCTCCCGGGTTCAAACAAGTCTCCTGCCTCAGCCGCCCAAGTATTTGGGACTACAGGGGCGTGTCACCACTACAGGCTAATTTTTTGTATTTTTTTTTTTCTAATTCAATAAAAACTTTTTTTTTTTTTCTACTTTCAGAACTTTAAAATGTGAGCATAGCATAATTCAGCCAGTTTTTACCTTCTGGTAACTTCTTCATTGGGTGGCTATTCCCCTTTAAATAACATAGTATTCGGCCAGGTGTGGTGGCTCAGGCTTGTAATCCAAGCGCTTTGGAGGCCAAGGCGGGCAGATCACCTGAGATCGGGAGTTCAAGACCAGCCTGACCAACATGGTGAAACCCCGTTTTTATAAAAATAAATAAATAAATAACATACTCCTGTTCCAGAAGGCAGTTAGCTTTTCATCACCCTGTCTAAATAACATCCAGTGACAAATCTCATAGGGACAAGAACACGGACCCAGCGGTCCCACACAATCTGAAGTAAGTTCACCCTGATGGCTGCAGGCCCAGTTGCCAACAGTGACCCTGAGACCAAGGGCGATGGAGGACTCAGCCACCCGCTGCTTGGGTGGAAGCTGCAACCTCGTCCCCACGGAGCAGAGGTGGCACCAGCAAATCACACTACTTTCTCCGCCTCAGGGTTGACGCCTCTCATTATTTTTTTCCCTTTTTTTCCACCCATGGACCCATGTCACAGAAATCTTCTCTTTTTTTTTTTTTTTTAAGACGGGGTTTCACAATCTTGGTCAGGCTGGTCTTGAACTCCCGACCTCAGGTGATCCGCCCGCCTTGGCCTCCAAAGTGCTTGGATTGCAGGCTTGAGCCACCATACCCAGCCTCTTTTTTTTAAGCTACTAAACATTACGGATAATTTCTGAATAAAACTTCGATCCACACTGACAAGGCATGGAGGTGTGAGTGTCAGCACCTTCCCACAGCCGATTGTTTGTGTGTGTGTGTGTGTGTTTTTTTTTTTTTTTTTTTTTTTGAGACAGAGTTTCTCTCTTGTTACCCAGGCTGGAGTGCAATGGCGCGATCTCGGCTCACCGCAACCTCCGCCTCCTGGGTTCAGGCAATTCTCCTGCCTCAGCCTCCTGAGTAGCTGGGACTACAGGCACGCGCCACCATGCCCAGCTAATGTTTTGTATTTTTAGAAGAGACGGGGTTTCACCATGTTGACCAGGATGGTCTTGATCTCTTGACCTGGGGCAATCCTCCCACCTCTGCCTCCCAAAGTGCTGGGATTACAGGCGTGAGCCACCGCGCCCGGCCCAAAGTTATTCTTTTTATTATGTATTTTCTGAGACAGAGTTACACCCTGCTGTCTAGGCTGGAGTGCAGTGGTGTCATTTCAGCTCACTGCAAACTCCACTTTCCCAGTTCAAGCGATTCTCTCTCCTGCTTCAGCATCCTGAGTAGCTGGGATTTCAGGCACGCACCAGCACACCCGGCTAATTTCTGCATGTTTAGTAGAGACGGGGTATCACCATGTTAGCGAGGCTGGTCTCTAACTCTTGACCTGGGGCGATCCTCCCACCTCTGCCTCCCAAAGCGCCGGGACTACAGGCCTGAGCCACCCGGTCGGCCACCCGGCCTACTTTTAGAGAAGAGTAAACTGAGGCTAAGCAGGGGAAGGGGTTGCCCAGCCCCAGCTCTAGGGCTGGGAGGGGCAGGTGGAAGGAAGGCTGCGGGGTGGGGGTGGGGGTGGGGTCCCCGCCTCCAGGCCTCAGTTTCCTTGTCAGTTTCTCCTCGATTCCCCGGGCTGGATTCCTGGCTCAGTCGGCAGCCCGGGTGGGGAGACAGGGGTTGTGGTTGAATTTTCCACCTCTCGCCTAGGTGTCTCTCCCCGCCGGCCTCGGTTTCCCCATTCCTCCCTTCAGGGGCTGGATCCCCGTCCCCCGGCCTCGGTTTCCCCGTTCGTCCCCTATTGGCTGGATTCCCGCCCCGCCGGCCTCAGTTTCCCCGTTCGTCCCCCCGGGGCTGACTCCCCGCCCCCACGGCCTCGGTTTCCCCGTTCGTGTCCCCGGGGCTGTATCCCCGCCCCGCCGGCCTCAGTTTCCCCGTTCGTCCCCTGGTGACTGGTCCCCGCGTGGGTCCCCGGCCCCGGGAGGTGGCGGCCCCGCCCGCAGCCCCAGGCCCCGCCTCCGCCCGTCACTTCCTGCCCGGCCCGGGGAAGGCCCAGCCGGGCGGCGGCGGCGGCAGCGTCCGAGCCATGGTCGCGCTGGAGAACCCCGAGGGCGGCCCGGAAGCGGCGGAGGGCACCCCGGGCGGGCGGCGGCTGCTGTGAGCGCGGGCAGGGGGCGGTGTGGATCTGGGCCCCTCCCTCTTCCCCTCGCTCCCCCCTCCCCGCCCCTAGCTCCCCTTCCGGGGCTCCAGCCTCCGTCCAGCCGTCCTTTTTCGCCCGCTGTGGACCCCCATGCTGTTGGGGGGGTCTTCACTGTTACCCAGCGGGGACACCCTCCTGGCTCCCCGGGGTTGGCTGGGGGAGGGGACCCCGGTCCGCGCCCCCACTTCCCGGGTCTGCGCCCCGATTCCCCCGGTCCGCACCCCAATTCCCCGGTCGGCGACCCCCCCACTCCCCCGGGTCCGCCCCCCGCACTCCGGGGTCCGCCACCCCAGCTACCCGTCCGCCCCCCGCCGTCCCCGGCTCTGCCCTCCAACTCCTCCGGTCCGCCCCCCCAACTCCCGGGTCTGCGCCCCCACTTCCTGGGTCCGCCCCCCAGCTCCCGGTGCGCGCCCCCATTCCCCGGGCCCCCGAGGTACCCGCCAGAGAGCTTCCCGCCAGGGGTTCCTGGGCCTGTGTCTGCGGGCGCGGGTCACCCACGCGGCCGTGCGCCCCCGGCCCCCCCGGTTCTCCCCGCGCTACCCGCCATCCGGGCTCGTCTGCGCCCCCCGCCTTTCCCGCCAGACGCAGCCCCAGAACCCTTGCAGATTAAAATCAGGAATCCGCGCGTACTCCCGGCGTTTTGGGGGTGGGGGGGACCCGAAAGCGGGGTGGCCTGTGCGGTGTTCACCTGTGCAGGGACCTGGGGACCCTAGGGTGCACCCCTGGGGTCCGCGTTCCGTTCCTGTCTCCTCCGTGTGCCCACCTGCCTCCACTTGGGCAGGTCATTTCACGCTCCCGTGCCTCAGTTTCTCCTTCTGTAAAATGGGATCGTAAGTGGGGCCTGTTCTCCAAGTGCTAGGGGTTGCCGACCTGGCTCTGGGCGGGTCCCAGCAAATGGAGTGTCCATTGTTTCCTTATTACTAATGATTGTTAATGTCTTATTAATTATTTTAGTATCACTGTTATTTGAGACGGAGTCTCACTGTGTCACCCAGGCTGGAGCGCAATCGCGTGATCTCCGCCTCCACCGACTGGGTTGAAGCGATCCTCCTGCCTCAGCCTCCTGAGTAGCTGGGATTACAGGCACCGCCACGACCCCGGCTAATTTTTTGTATTTTTAGTAGAGATGGGGTTTCACCATGTTGGCCAGGATGGTCTCGATCTTCTGACCTCGTGATTCACCCTCCTCGGCCTTCTAAAAATACAGCGTTGAGCCACTGCACCTGGTCTTTAGTGTTGGTTTTCAATGATGATTTATTATGTTTATTATTATTATTATTATTATTTTTTTTTTTTGAGACGGAGTTTCGCTCTTGTTACCCAAACAATGGCGCGATCTCGGCTCACCGCAACCTCCGCCTCCTGGGTTCAGGCAATTCTCCTGCCTCAGCCTCCTGAGTAGCTGGGATTACAGGCACGCGCCACCATGCCCAGCTAATTTTTTGTATTTTTAGTAGAGACGGGGTTTCACCATGTTGACCAGGATGGTCTCCATCTCTTGACCTCGTGATCCACCCGCCTCGGCCTCCCAAAGTGCTGGGATTACAGGCTTGAGCCACCGCACCCGGCTATTATGTTTATTATATCATTGCTTTTATCTCCCCCAGAGGCCATACCAGTCGCTACCGAGGTGATTTGTATCTGAAGGAGAAAAGATGCCTCTTTGATTGGTTGATTGATTAATTGATTGGAGACCAAATCTCCATCTATTGGCCAGGCTGGAGTAGAGGATGCCTCCTTTTTTTTGAGAGAGAGAGAGAGAGTTTCGCTTTTGTTGCCCAGGCTGGAATGCAATGGCAAGATCTTGGCCCACAGCAACTTCCGCCTCCCGGGTTCAAGCCATCCTCCTGCCTCAGCCTCCTGAGTAGCCGGGACTACAGGCACGTGCCACCACGCCCGGCTAATTTTGTGTTTTTAGTAGAGACAGGGTTTCTCCATGTTGGTCAGGCTGGTCTCAAACTCCCGACCTCAGGTGATCCGCCTGCCTCGGCCTCCCAAAGTGCTGGGATTACAAGCATGAGCCACTGCGCCCAGTCTTTTTTTTTTTTTAAATATTAGAAATGGGGTCTTGCTACATTGCCCAAACTGGTCTAAACTCTTGGGCTCAACCCATCCTCCCTCTTCTGCCTCCCAAAGTACTGGGATTACAGGTGTGAGCCACCACTCTGGTCTATTTTATTGAGATGAAATTCACATTTATTAGTATTTTTATTAATACAGGGTCTTACTCTATCACCCAGGCTGGAGTGCCGTGGTTCAATCACAGCTCACTGCAGCTCCTACCTGCTGGGCTCAGGTGATCCTCCTGCCCCTGCCTCCCGAGTTGCTAGGACCACAGGTGTGCCCCACCATGCCTGGCTAATTTTTAAATCTGTTGTAGAGGTGAGGTCTCACTATGTTGCCCAGGCAGGTCTCGAACTCTTGGACTCAAGGGATCCACCTGCCTTGGCCTCACGAAGTGCCGGGATTACAGATAGGAGCCACTGTGCCCGGCACCTGCGTCGTCTGGAAGCCCAGATGCATTGACTCGTGTGTAACTGTGTAAATATGCTCATGTTTCAGCCCTCACTGGCTGGGTGTTTACCTGCCAGACGTGTCCTGGTGGGGGGTTGGGGACTGCTGGGGACCTTCCCGGTCTACCCCACCCCTGGCTGAGTCACCTCCGCCCTGAGCCCTGGCTTCCTCCTGGACACGTGGGTTCCTCTCTTGCGGGTTCCTGGGGGAGGGGCCGGTGCCGGGAAAGGTGTGTTTTTGCCCAAGGGAGTGGGGGTCCAAAGGTCCCCTCTCAAAATCTGCAAGGGGTGTAATCGGGAGTGGCCGGGAGACCTGTTCCCCCAAACCCCCACCGCGCGCCGGCTCGGGCCGCCCCCCTCTGTGGACACACATCCTCAGGACTTCAGTGTCCACGAAGCCTCAGATACTCTCTAAAGTGGTCTTGTTGGGTGCTGTGGGAAAGAGATGAGCCAGCCCTTGCAGACTGTGTAAACAGAAGTTTAGTTATTCATTCAACAAACAGGCAGAGGCTGGGCTGGGCATAGGCAGGCCCTGGGGGAGGAGAGGACCCCTTTTTGTGCTGTGAGCCTAGGAAGCTCGTGATTAGGGAGCAGAGATGTAAACAGGCCAGCTGGGGCCAGTTGGTTTCCAGAGCCTCCTGGTTAGGCTGACTGGGCTAGGTAGGGGTGGGGCCGTTTCTGGGGGTGGTGACCACACAGCCCAGGCCGGAGTGAGCAGGTGCCACAGAGCTCCCTGAGTTTGGGGCAGTGTGTGGGGGAGCCTGGGGCTGGGCATAGGAATTTTTAAAGTTCATTTTATTTTATTATTAGTATTTTTTTCACACTCCCCCCTCCATCGGAATATATATATATATATATATATATATATATATATATATATATATTTTTTTTTTTTTTTTTTTTTTTTTTTTTTTTTCTTGAGGCAGTTTCTGACATCCCTGATCTCAGCTCACTGCAACTTCCATCTCCCGGGTTCAAGCAATGCTCCTGCCTCAGCCTGCTGAGTAGCTGGGACTACAGACATGGCCGCCATGTCTGGCTAATTTGTTTGGTATTTTTGGTAGAGATGGGGTTTTACTGTGTTGGCCAGGCTGGTCTCAAACTCCCAGCCCAAGTGATCCACCAGTCTCTGCCTCCCAAAGTGCTGGCCGGGATTACATGGGTGAACTGCCGCCCCCGGCCAGGCGTCCGGGTTTTGATGTGAGACCTCCAGCCTGTTCCTTCCTTTTCTGGAGGGGAGTGATGGTGACCCCCAGGCCCTACTGCCTACCCCAGAGGCCAGATATTTGTTAATTTCTTGCTGAAAACTGATTGAAGTCAGCCAGCTCCATCCGGTGGGAGGTCTCGGATTCCAGTGCTCAGCCCAGCACTGGAGGCCCAAGGGAGGTGGTGGGTCCCTCAAAAGCCCCTCAAACACCAGAGGAAACAGCCCTGGTGGTCCAGTGCCAGGCCAAGGGGGAGCCAGGCCTTGCCCTGGGACGCTAGGGAGCCAGGGCCTGTGCTGGAGCAGGGGAAGGACTGGGCAGGTCTTTGGGGGCCTGGAGGGCGTCCTGGAGGGGGGGGCCTGTGAGGCTTTGATGTGAGGGGTGGTGAGGGAAGCAGGGTGGTGAGGGGGTTCCTGATGAGACCCAGGTTCACACGTGGCTCCTTGCATTTTCTGGGTGGCGACAGGACAGCCCCGCTTCTCCAAGCCTCAAACCCTTCATCTGTAAGATGGGGGTGACTCTAGGCCCCTGGCTGGGAGGGCTTGAGCTGTGTCACTGAGCCCCGCCCCGATCTGACTTCCCCAAGGGCTCCCCTCGGATGTGACTTCCGTTATCGGCCCTGTCCGGCTGTTGGGGTGGAGATGTGGGCCCTGGGGCCTCAGGGGGGCTGTGGGTGAATCTGGGGCGTGGGAGGAGGTGCTTGGGCCTCAGGGAGGCAGCCTCATGTTGAGTCCAGCTGCAGAGACGTTGGCTTCACGTGACCCTGTGTGCCCGTTCAGTGCCTGTCGGCTGCTGCGCTTGGTGCTGAGGATGTGGGCTACCACCTCCTTCTTCACAGCAGCGGGAGCTTGGGTGGTGACCTTGTGCCTCGGTTTACAAATCTGTATAATGCAGGTGTGGTGGCTCATGCCTGTGATCCCAGCACTTTGGGAGTCTGAGGCGGGCGGATCACCTGAGGTCAGGACTTCGAGACCAACCTGGCCAACATGCTGAAACCCCGTCTCTACTAAAAATACGAAAATTAGCTGGGCGTGGTGGTGGATGCCTGTAGTCCCAGCTGCTGGGGAGGCTGAGGCAGGAGAATCGTTTGAACCTGGGAGGTGGGGGTTGCAGTGAGCCAGGATCGAGCCACTGCACTCCAGCCCGGGTGACAGAGTGAGACTCCATCTCAAAACAAAACAAAGCAAAAAAAACCCAATTCTATATAATGGGCATTAAAGTAATGTCACTTGCCTCCTGGGGGACAGTGCAGGGGACAGGAAATGAACCTAACATGGGAAAAATAGTCCAGGGACACTGGTATGACTGACAGCAGTGTGGCCTGGCTGAGGGGTGAGTTCCCCATCAGAGGAGGAAACCAAGCCAGTGGCAGTTGAGATGAGGAAGGGACTTCATCCCAGGCCCTTTGGGCTCTAAGTACCCCTCCCAGACCAACTTGTTCCCACTTTTTGAGAGGGACCTGAGGTGAAAGGTTGCAGGGTGAAGCATCCTAGCTGGGGTTCACACACTCAGGGCTGACATTCCAGGACCTGCCCTGCTGACACCCCCGCCCCCGGAGGTGTCGGTTTCTGAGTCTCCAGCCTTGCCTCAGCCATCGAGGTCTGAGTTAGCCATGCCTTGGCCAGTGAGGTCCAGGTTTGAGGCTTGACCTGAGCCCCTGCCTGTGGGTCCCTATTGGTGGGTGCTTGTGCGGATGTGAGGCTTTTGCTCCGATGACTTTTCTTTTTGTTTTTGAGATGGAGTTTCGCTCTTGTTACCCAGGCTGGAGTGCAATGGCGCCATCTCGGCTTACCGCAACCTCCACCTCCTGGGTTCAGGCAATTCTCCTGCCTCAGCCTCCCGAGTAGCTGGGATTACAGGCACGTGCCACCCTGCCCAGCTAATGTTTTGTATTTTTAGTAGAGACGGGGTTTCACCATGTTGACCGGGATGGTCTCGATCTCTTGACCTCGTGATCCACCCGCCTCGGCCTCCCAAAGTGCTGGGGTTACAGGCTTGAGCCACTGCGCCCGGCAATTTTTGTATTTTTCATAGAGATGGGGTTTCACCATTTTGGTCAGGCTGGTCTCGAACTACTGACCTTGTGATCTGCCCGCCTTGACCTCCCAAAGTGCTGGCATTACAGGCGTGAGCCGCCGCGCCCGGCCTGTTTGTTTTGAGGTACGGTCTTGCTCTGTTGCCCGGGCTGGAGTGCGGTTCTGCGACCACAGCTCGCTGCAGCTTCAACCTCTCCAGGCCCAAGTGATCCCCCCCCCGCCTCGGGCTCCCAACGTGCAGGGATTACAGGAGCCCCGCAGCCTGGCCTGTGTGGTTTTTCCTTGCCCGATAAGTCCCCATCCAAGAGGCCCCCCCAGCCCACTTTCCAGGCGCGCCTGCCCCACTGTGTTCCCAGCGGGAGACCCGGCTGTGACAGCTAATCCGTCTCCGTCTCCGCAATTAATGTCATTTGTTGGGGCCAGGCCAATTAGCTCTGGGGGTGCCGCTCCAGCCCCTCTTTTGTCCTGGCCCCGGGGACAGGGGACATTAAGGGAGAGGCAGGGGGCCTTGGGCATCACCTGGAGCTTCTGAGACTGTTTGCTTCCTCCTCTGCTGGGGTGGGAGATGTGGATAAAATCAAGTTTCTTGACTTGATTTCACATCCCAGAGGCTGCACGCCCTGCAGCTAACGCCTTGAACACTGGGACCGGGGGGCAGGGGGCAGCATTTCTGGGTCATTCACCTGCTGTGTGACTTCGGGCAACTGTCTTCAGTTTTCTGAGCCTCAGTTTACTAATCTGTCATCACACTTTTTTTGTTTTGTTTTGTTTGAGAGAGAGTCTCACTCTGTCGCCCAGGCTGGAGTTCAGTGGGATGACCTTGGCTCACCGCAACCTCCACCTCCCGGGTTCTGGCGATTCTCCTGCCTCAGCCTTCCATGTGGCTGCGATGACAGGCATGCACCCCCGTGGCCGGCTGATTTTTGTATTTGTAGTACAGATGGGGTTTCACCAGGTTGGCCTGAAACTCCAGACCTCCGGTGATCCGCCCACCTTGGCCTCCCAGAGCGCCGAGGTGACAGACGTCAGGCACCGTGCCTGGCCTTTTTATTTTTATTTTTATTTTTTGAGATAGGGTCTCACTCTTTCACCCAGGCTGAAGTGCAGTGGCACGATCTCAGCTCACTGCAGCTTCTGTCTCCCAGGTTCAAGTGATTCTCCCACCTCAGCCTCCTGAGTAGCTGGATTACAGGCACATGCCACCACACCTGGTTAATTTTTGTATTTTTTTGGTAGAGGCAGGGTTTTACCACGCTGGCCAGGCTTGTCTTGAGTTCCTGACCTAAAGTGATCCACCCATCTTGGCCTCCCAGAGTGCTGGGATTACAGGCATGAGCCAATGTGCCTTACTTCATTTTTTTTTTTTTTTTTGAGACAGAGTTTTCCTCTGTCACCAGGCTGGAGTGCAGTGGTGTGATCTCGGCTCACTGCAACTTCCGTCTCCTGAGTTCAAGCGATTCTCCTGCCTCAGCCTCCCGAGTAGATGGGACTACAGGCGTGCGCCACCATGCCCAGCTAATTTTTGTATTTTTAGTAGAGACAGGGTTTCACCATGTTGGCCAAGATGGTCTGGATCTCCTGACCTCATGATCCACCCACCTCGGCCTCCCAGAGTGCTGGAACTACAGGCATGAGCCACCGCACCCGGCCCTAATTTTTTTTTTTTTTTTTTTTTTTTTTTTTTTGACACAGTTTTGCTCTGTTGCCCAGGCTGGAGTGCAGTGGTGCCATCATGCCAGCCTTAACCTCCTGGACTCGAGTGATCCTCCAGCCTCAGGCCCCTGAGTAGCTGGGACTACAGGCATATACCAGCACACCTGTTTAATTTTCTAATTATTATTATTATTATTATTATTATTTTTTTTGTAGAGACAGTGTCTTGCTATGTTGCTCAGGCTGGTCTTGAACTCCTGAGCTCAAGCGATCCCCCTGCCTCAGCGTCCCACGGTGCTGGGATCACAGGCATGAGCCACCACACCCGGTCTGTCATCACAGATACCTCTGGGTGAGGTGAGGATGAAACAAATGGGATTTTAAGGGCTCAGGACTCCACACGCCATAGGGCTGAGCTCTTCATTGCTGGGAGAAACCCAGCAGGCCATGGCTGTGGTAAGGTTCTCAGAGATCCTGGCCAGTCTTGGCCCTGAGGACCACCCTCGCCCTGGCCCGCAGGTCCCTTCCCGGCTGCCTGCCTGCCCTCGCCAGCTCCCAGGTGAAGAGACTGTCAGCGTCCAGGCGGAAGCAGCACTTCATCAACCAGGCTGTGCGCAACTCAGACCTCGTGCCCAAGGCCAAGGGGCGGAAAAGCCTCCAGCGCCTGGAAAACAGTGAGCAGGGGTCAGGAGGCGCCTCTGTGGGGCTCCTGGGTCTTGTAGAATGGTGTGCATATTGGTGTGATCTCTGCCCCTCCTGTGAGCTGGGCTTGGGCAGGGCTGGGGACCCAAAAGAGTGTCACCTTTAGGCCAGGGGAGCGTATAAGAGAGCCAGACACAGGTACCTTCTAGACTGTTGAATCAGGGCTAGGTGGGAGGGTGCTCTGAGCATTGGAGCTGGGGTTTTAAAGGATGTGTAGGAGTTCAACAAGCCAGAAAGTGGAGGTGGTTTCTGTACCTTCTGGGGAATACAGCTGGAGCATGGAGGTGGGGTGGCTGAGATGATAAAATGAGAGGAAGCCTAGTTCTTGAGTCCCCATTGAGCATGGGGTCCCCGAACACCACCCTGACACAGACCACCTGCTTCCACCTAGCCCAGTACCTCCTGACCCTGCTGGAGACAGATGGGGGCCCGCCTGGCCTGGAGGACGGGGATGTGGCACCCCCTGCATCACCCGGCATCTTCGCAGAGGCCTGCAACAATGCCACCTACGTGGAGGTGCGGCCCCAACCCCCTCGCTCCCTCCATGTGGGGACCCCCAGCTTCACATCACTTCTACAGCCAGAGCACCCACCCACTTCCCATCGTCTAATGAAGGCCCCGCAGTCTCCTCTGGGGTCCCCAGACCAGGCCAGAATCCCCACCTGACCCCTGGAACCTGCCAGCTCCTGGATTCATCCACCCAACATGTTTTGGAACCCCTGCCTTTAGATTTTTTTTTTTTTTTGAGAACGAGTTTTGCTCTCTTGCCCAGGCTGGAGTGCAATGGCACAATCTCCGATCACTGTAACCTCCACCTCTCGGGTTCAAGCGATTCTCCTACCTCAGCCTCCCAAGTAGCTGGGATTACAGACACCACCACGCCCAGCTAATTTCTGTATTTTTAGTAGAGACGAGGTCTCATCGTGTTGACCAGGCTGGTCTTGAACTCCTGACCTAGTGATCCACCTGCCTCAGCCTCCCAGAGTGCTGGGATGACAGGCGTGAGCCACGGCGCCCGGCCTTGGGGGAGGGTTTTATTCACATGAACCCTCACCCCAGACAGCTGGGCCTATCCAGGTTCCCCAGTGCCCCGCACTCAGCTCAGGGCCCGACACACGCAGTGGCTCAGTGGACACAGGTGACCGCAGGAGCACTTCCACCTGCCTGGCGGCCTTTCGTGCCCATTCGCCAAATGAGATGCTGAGGCCCAGAGACGTCAGCCCAGCCCGGGGTCTCACGGCAAGCCTGACGGCCTCTCTTCCAGGTCTGGAACGACTTCATGAACCGCTCAGGGGAGGAGCAGGAGCGGGTCCTTCGCTACCTGGAGGATGACAGCAAGAGCAAGGCGCGGAGGAAGGGCCCTGGCCGGGGGGAGGACCGGAGGGAGGACCGAAGGAGAGGTGCGGGCCTGGCTGGGGCCGGTGTCGGGGCGGGACCCGGGGTGGGTGTGGCCAGGATGGGGGGGTGTGATTGTGGTTGGGGTGGAGCCTGGGTGGGTTGGACCTAGCGTGTGGGTGTGGCCAGTGCATGGATGGGGCGTGGCCTGGGTGGGTTGGACCTAGTGTGTGGGTGTGGCCAGTGCATGGATGGGGCGTGGCCTGGGTGGATTGGACCCAGCGTGTGGGTGTGGCCAGTGCGTGGATGGGGCGGGGCCTGGGGTGGGTTGGACCTAGTGTGTAGGTGGGGCGGGGTATGAATGGGAGCGGGGCATGAGGTGGGGGTGGCCAGGATGTGGGGCCCAGGATATGGATGGCAGTGGGTAGGGGTGGGACCCGGAGATGGATGGGGGTGGGGCTGGCTGGCCTGTTTGGGACTGGTATGGGTGGGGCCTCCTGTATACCTGGGGCCAGCCTACCGGGTCGGGCCAGCTGGATGGGTTGCGGGCTCAGGGTGTAAATGGACGTGGCCTGTGTGGGTAGGGTCTGCTCCATGTCTGGGTGGAGCCACAGTGTGGGCGAAGGTGTGGTTCGGTGAGCGGGTGAGGCTAAGGCACAGATGGGCGTGGTCTTCCCGGGAGGGCGTGGTCTGGCAGGTGGGCAGGGCCAGGACGGGCGCCCCAAGACTGCCCCCTGTTCCCCCACTCCTGCAGAGGACCCCGCCTATACACCCCGCGAGTGCTTCCACCGCATCAGCCGGCGTCTGCGAGCCGTCCTCAAGCGCAGCCGCATCCCCATGGTGAGTGCCTGGTGCGGGGCGTCGCCTCTCTGCCTGCCTAGTCCTTTTTGAAGGCCCCTTTCCCGGGCACAGGTTCTCACCCGGTGCAGGTGGCGTCAGAGGAAACGGCAGGATACAGACAGTGGGACCAGGGATCTGACTGGGGGGGGGCAACGAAGGGGGGCACTGCAGGGTGTGTAGGAGTTCCCTCGGCAGAACGCGGGCCCTGCAGGGTGTGTAGGAGTTCCCTCGGCAGAACGCGGGCCCTGCAGGGTGTGTAGGAGTTCCCTAGGCGGAAGGCGCAGGCAGGAGCTGGGAGGTGGCGATGTCTAAGTGCGTGGTGGCCTTGGAGACAGTTAAGCAGCCTCACGTGGCGGGTCAGAGGTCATGTTTGGGCTGTGGGCTTCTAGGGGGCCTAGACTGCCCTCGCCCGTCCACCCGAAGGTTCCTTAGAGCCCTGGCTGCCCTCCCCAGGAAACCCTGGAGACCTGGGAGGAGCGGCTGCTCCGGTTCTTCTCCGTGTCCCCCCAGGCCGTGTACACAGCCATGCTGGATAACAGGTAAGCGAGGAAGGGGGGTGGCAGGTGGGCGGACCCCCCACTTCCTTGGCCCCGGCGCATTGCTCACTGCCCATCCCCCACAGCTTCGAGAGGCTCCTGCTGCACGCTGTCTGCCAGTACATGGACCTCATCTCGGCCAGTAAGTGCTGATGGCCCCCAAGACCCCAGGTTGGCCGGCTCCACACGGGAAAGTGGCTAGTTCCTCTTTGTGGGAAGCTGGGGAAGGTGGCTGCAGTAGTGGGGATGCTACGAACTCGGGGGTGGCAGCAGGACCCTGCCTTGAATTGACCAGAAGCTCCCAGCGTATCCGTCCCCATGCAGAGTGACCGCAGACACAGCCAGGCTGCTGGACACAGACGCCCTCCACATCTTCAGGGCCCGGGTGGGGGTGATGATACCTGGCTTGGAGGAACCTCTGGAGTCAGATATAAGATGGAGGGGTGCGGTGTCTGGAAGATTGGAATTTAGCCATAGGGTCTCCCCCATGGGAGCTCAGACGAGAACCCCTCCTGGCGCCTGTGTCCACTTTTCCAGTGGGGTGCAGTCTCAGAACACCTTCCCCCCCAACCAGCGAGGGTCTGTGCAGGTGCCTGCTGGTGCCAGGCACCCCATCGAGTCCTGGGCCTCTCCCACCTGTCTTGCCTTCTGCCTGGAGTTGCCACGGGGATGGTTTCCAAGGCAACCTGATGGTGCTTCCCCGGTTCCCTCTGTGGGAGACGCAGCCCCCATGCCTGCATCTGTTGGGAACGTCGGGTCTTGGCTAGGGGTGCAGGGCTTGACGCTTGGTGGCATGGAGCTTCGGTCCTGACACGGAAGAGGAAGGGTCCCAGCAAGATGGGGAGTAGGGGGTGGGGGTCCCAGGCAGAGGGGACTGCTGAGGCACAGGCCCAGAGGTGGCATGGAGCTCACATGGGACATGGCTCGTTTTGTTTGTCATTTTGAGATGGAGGCTGGCTCTGTTGCCCAGGCTGGAGTGCAGTGGCGCGATCTCAGCTTACTGCAACCTCCACCTCCCAGGTTCAAGCGATTCTCCTGCCTCAGCCTCCCGAGTAACTGGGATTCCAGGCACACGCCCCCACACCTGGCTAATTTTCGTATTTTTAGTAGAGACGAGGTTTCACCATGTTGGCCAGGCTGGTCTCAAACTCCTGACCTCCTGATCATCCTGCCTTGGCCTCCCAGAGTGTTGAGATTACAGGCGTGAGCCACTGCGCCCGGCCCACTCGTTCATTTTTTGCAGTAAGGGGGAGATGGGGGAGGGGAGGCTAGCGGGAGCCGGACCACCCAGGGCCTGGGTGCCTCAAAGCCACCTCTACGGGGCAGGCCTGGGAGGCCAGACGCTTTGTCAGCACGTGTGTGAGTGGCCCTGTGGCCTCAGGCCCGGTGTGTTTCAGGGTCCCCTGCGCGCAGTGGGATGCGTGGCAGCGAGTGAGGTGAGCCCCAGATGAAAGCACTCCTGTGGGAAGACTTCGGTGTTCTTGTGAGCCAGGCTCCAGGACCCGGGGGCGTACGGCCAGGAGGCCACCGTGACCAGCACACACGGCTGGCGGTGACCTCCCCAGGAAAAAGTGAGGGTGGTCTGGGTCCAAGGCACCAACCTGCCGAGGCTCCCGAAAGCCCCCCGAATCTTGCCCCGCGATCCCTTCTGCAGGTGCCGACCTGGAGGGGAAGCGGCAGATGAGGGTCAGTAACCGGCACCTGGACTTCCTTCCACCCGGACTGCTCCTGTCCGCCTACCTGGAGCAGCGCAGCTGATGGCGGCCCCTTGGAGCCCCCACTGCCGCCTCGCCCAGCACCAAGCCCTTCGATACTTTTCTGCTGTCGATACCTGTCACTCACGTTTTTAGAATTTGTCTTTGGAAACGTTTTTCTTTTGGGGTGATCTCTCTCACCCTGCTTCCTCCTCACACAGCTCTCGGCAGTGAACAGACACCGCTGGTGGCTGGGACTTCCCATCCCATCCTAGCTCCAAGCTGCCCACTCTGGGACTTGTATTTGGGTGGGGAGACCCGGCCTGGGTGTGTTCCTGTTTCTTCATTGCTTGGCTTTTCTGGCCCAGTCTGAAGCTCAAGTGAGGAGGGGGAGGCTGGGTGGGTTTTTAATCTCTTTTAATGAATTTGGTGTGATTTGTTGTAGATTTTTAAATTTCCCTTTTGGAGAGAAAAACCAAAAAAACTCACCCCACTGGTAAAGCATGGGTCTTGATCCCAGCCCTTGCTCAGCCCCTCCCAGTTTTTAGCTTGAATGAAGAAGGGGGTCTCTGGGACCCTGCCCCTCATGCCAGAAGCATCTTGTATTGTGTGTGTGTGTGCGCGCGCACATGCGTGTGTGTGCCTTGAGACCCAGGACGGAGCTGTGTCCCGAGGGCTGGTTTTATCCTCCTGTTCTTCGTGTCCTGCCCCACACTGCCTCTGTCAGGGCTCAGGGTCCTGTCTGCTTTACACGAACCCCCCTCTTTTCTTCCCCTCCTTTATACTGGGGGTCCAGGACTTCCAGCCAGAAGCCTCTGCCCTTGCACTACCTTGTCTGTCCCGTCCACTCCATGTCCCACGGTCCCCCAGCCTGGCTCCTGCCTGATAGCCCCTGTGTCCCCATGCTGGTCCTCCTGACACAGACTGCACGAATCAGGCTAGGGGCCTCCCTACCCCCTCGCCGAGTGTGGGTGATTGTATTTTGGGGGGAAGTGGGGGATTTAATAAATTTCTGGTGCTCTGGCCTCAGGCTTTGTGGGTTTTTCTTTTGGGGCAAGGCTGGGGGCTTAGTAGGTGCTGGTCACCTGGGGCCGCCAGTGCTCCCCAGCTCCTCTACTCTTGGGTGCCTGGGTTCAAACCCCGACTCTGCCACACACCTGCGGTGTGACCTTAGGCGAGTGGCCTATATGAGTGCCCTGGGGCCTCTGTAATAGAGTGTCTTACACTGGGGGCTTGAAATGGCAGGCCAGCGAGGTGGCTCACACCTGTGATTCCAGCACTTTGGAAGGCCAAGGCAGGAGGATCGCTTGAGCCCAGGAGTTTGAAACTAGCTGGGGTAACATAGCAAGACCCTGTCTCTAAAAAAAAAAAAAAGAAAGAAAGAAATTAGCAGGGTGCGGTGGCATGCCTGTAGTCCCAGCTACTTGGGAGGCTGAGGTGGGAGGATCACTTGAGCCTGGGAGGTTGAGGCTGCAGTGAGCTGAGACTGGGCCACTTCACTTCAGCCTGGGTATGGAGGAAGACCCTCTGTCAAGGAAAAACAAAAGGGAAGTCTCTTCTCTCATAATTCTGGAGGTACATGTCTGAGGTCAAGGTGTCTGCAGGGTGACGCTCCCTCTGGACTCCTAGGGGAGAAGCCTTCCTGCCTCTCCCAGCTTCTGGGGGCTCCATGTGTCCCTGGCTTGTGGCCACATCGGTGTGGTCTCAGCCTCTGTCTCCAAGAGGCTGTCTTCCCTGCGTGCCATGTCTTGTCCCGACGTTACCCTCCCTCCACGGGTCTGTGCCCAAATATCCCTCTGTGTAAGGACGCCCATCATTGGGTCAGGCCCACACTAATCACCTCTTTTTAACCTGATAACCTCAGAGAGACCGTTTCCAAATAAGATCGCATTCTGAGGTAGTGGGAGTTAGGAATTCAACATCTTTTCTTTTTTTTTTTTAGTCAGAGTTTGCTCTCACCCAGGCTGGAGTTCAATGGTGTGATCCTGGCTCACTGCAACCTCCAGCTCCTGGGTTCAAGCGAGTCTCTTGCCTCAGCCTCCCAAGTAACTGGGATTACAGGTGGCCGCCACCATGGCCGGCTAATTTTTGTGTTTAGTAGAGACAGGGTTTCACCACATTGGTTGGGCTGGTCTGAAACGCCTGACCTCAGGTGATCCAACTGCCTTGGCTTCCCAAAGTACTGGGATTACAGGCGTGAGCCACTGTGCCTGATTTGTACTTTTTGTAGAGATGGGGTCTGGCTATCTTTCCCAGGCTGGTCTCGAACTCAAGCTGTCTTCCCACCTTGGCTTTCCAAAGTGCTGGGATTACAGGTGTGCGCCCCCACACCCTGACCCCTGAGAACTGTAAACAGCTACCTGCTGCCTGGGAATGTGGATTTTCTGTAAGGTCGCCACGTGGCCCTCTTGGGGAACTGAACCCTGATCCAGAAAAACCCTCTGATGGGCTGGGTGTGGTGGCTCACGCCTGTAATTCCAGCATTTTGGGAAGCCAAGGTGGGTGGATCACAAGGTCAGGAGTTTCAGACCAGTCTGACCAACATGATGAAACTCTGTATCTACTAAAAATACAAAAATTAGCTGTGTGTGGTGGCGCACGCCTGTAGTCTCAGCTACTCAGGAGGCTGAGGTGGGAGAATCACTTGAACCCTGGAGGCGGAGGTTGCAGTGAGCCGAGATCGCACCATTGCACTCCAGCCTGGGTGACAGAGTGAGACTCCATCTCAAAAACCTCTGATATCTGGGCCGTTGTTAACTTGTAATTTTAGAACATTTTGATATTTGCAGAATTCTTGCAAAAATCATGCAGTGAGGCTGCGGTGGATCCCACCTATAATCTCAGCACTTTGGGAGGCTGGGGTGGGAGGAGTGTTTGAGGCCTGGAGTTTGAGATCAGCCTGGGCCACATAGTGAGATCCAATTTCTATTAAAAATTTTAAAAAGAAACGAAGATCCGGGCATTGGGTATGCAGTATTTCATCTTAACACACTTTAAAAAAAATTTAAACACATGGTAAATAATGGCCTCCTTGAGGCCAGGAGTTCGAGGCCCGCCTGGCTAACCTGGCGAAACCCCATCTCTACTAAAAATACAAAAATTAGCCAGATGAGCCGGCACATGCCTGTAGTCCCAGCTACCCAGAAGATTGAGGCGTGAGAATCATTGAGCCTGGGAGGCGGAGGTCGTAGTGAGCAGAGATTGGGCCACTGCATTCCAGCCTGGGTGACAGAGCATGACTCCGTCTCAAAAAATAAATAAATAAAAGTAAAATAATAATGAAACAAGAAAAAAAAGAACAAAATAAAAAATAAAATAATAATAACGGAGCCGGGCGTGGTGGCTCCTGTCTGTAATCCCAGCACTTTGAGAGGCTGAGGCAGGCGGATCACGAGGTCAAGGGTTCCAGACCAGCCTGAGCAACATGGTGAAACCCGGTGTCTACTTAAAAATACAAAAGTTAGCCGGGTGTGGTGGCACCTGTAATTCCAGCTACTTGGGAGGCTGAGGCAGGAAGATTGCTTGAACCCGGGAAATGGAAATTTGCGGTGAGCCGAGGGCGTGCCATTGCACTCCAGCCTGGGCGACGGAGTGAGACCCTGTCTGCAAAATAAACAACGCCCAGCTCATTTTTGTATTGTTAGTAGAGACGGGGGTTAAAAATAAAAAATAAGGCCGGGCGCGGTGGCTTACGCCTGTAATCCCAGCACTTTGGGAGGCCGAGGCGGGTGGATCTCGAGGTCAAGAGATCGAGACCATCCCGGTCAACATGGTGAAACTCCGTCTCTACTAAAAATACAAAACATTAGCTGGGCATGGTGGCACGTGCCTGTAATCCCAGCTACTCGGGAGGCTGAGGCAGAATTGCCTGAACCCAGGAGGCGGAGGTTGCGGAGAGCCGGGATCGCGCCATTGCACTCCAGCCTGGCGCATGGTGACGGAGTGAGACTCTTGTCTCAAAAGATAAATAAATAAAAAGTAAAGGAATAAAAAGAAAAGCACAACATGCCTTGCACTAAACTGGCTTTTGGAGGTGGGGGTGGAAATGGGGTTGGATGTAGGAAGATCCCTTAACGGGATCAGTGACTTCCGTCAAAGGAGCCTCAGTTTCTCCAATCTTGGACATTAGAAAACGGAAGAAAATATGGAACGCTTCACGAATTTGCGTGTCATCCTTGCGCAGGGGCCATGCTAATCTTCTCTGTATCGTTCCAATTTTAGTATATGTGCTGCCGAAGCGAGCACGTTGTTCCTCTCACACCAGGACCCATTTATACCCCCTACAGTCAGTATCTGTACACATAGGGCGACTTTTGTTAAGCGACATAGATGCTCAACCTACACGTACGTAGTTTGCCGTGTCATGCAACTAACGTAGTTATTAACTGGAGCAGAGAAAGTGCTCATTCTACCAAACGTAGCTACGGCGGCTTTTGGGAATCATTGGAAACGCTCGCATGCAAATGTACCCGGAAGCGGGGCGGAGCCTAGGCCGCGCCGCCGTCCCAGAAGTCTTTGGGAGGCGACGGCGCGGGTCAGGCAACTCGTTGGTACCGGGGAAGATGGCGGCGCCAGAGCCGTGGCATTAGGGAAGTTCGCGCCGCGGACACCCGCTGGTCTTGGCGCACGGGCCGGCCAGGTGAGCGCGGGGCTGCGGGGGCCCGGCCGGGGGCGGGACAGACTCCCGATGGCGTCTGCAGCCCCAGGGAACGCGGTGCGGGGGAGGCGGGGCCTGCAGGGTTAGGGGGCGTGTCCGGGAGCAAAGGCTGCTGGGTAGGCGGCCTGGGGCGCAGGATCTTGAGCTCGCGGCGGAAACTCGGGGGAAGCCGGAGGGGGCGGGGCCTGAAGGGAGTTTGGGGCGGGGCTGAAGGCACTTGGTGGGACTTAGGGGGCGGGGCTTGTAGTGGGTTTGGAGTCCCTGGCAGGGAGCCTAGGAACTGGATGGCTATATGGATGCAACCTGGAGAGTTGGGTTCTCTGGGGTGGACCCTGCAGATTGGGGGTTACAGGGGCGGGGCCTGGAGAGGGTATGGTCCCTGGGATGGATCCTGGAGATTGGGGGTTATAGGGGTGGGGCCTGGGGAGGCTATGGCGTTCCTGGGATAGACTCTGGGAATTGGGGGTCATAGGGGCATTCCTGGGATGGACCCTGGAGATTTGGGGTTATAGGGGCAGGGCCTGGAGAGGGTATGGGTTCCCTGGGATGAACCCTGGATATTGGGGTCTGTAGGATTGGGCCCTGGAGAGGCATGGTACTTCTGCGAGAAAGCCTGGTGTTTCGGGCTATAGGGGCAGGACCTAGAGGAGCTATGGGGTCGCTGGGGTGGACCTGGAGATTGGAGGTTATAGGGGTGGGGCCTGTAGAGGTTATGGGGTCCCTGGGATGAAGCCTGGTGTTTGCGGACAATAGGGGAAGGGCCTGGAGAGTACATGGGGTCCCTGGAGGGGAACCTGGGAACTGGGGAGTTTTAGGGGTAGGGCCTGGAGAGCCAAGGCTGTTGGAGGCTGGACCTGGGGAGGTCAGCCAACATGGGACCCCTGGGGTGAAGCCTGAGAATTTAGGCTGAGGCCATGGGCCCCAGGGGTGGTTTGAAGCGGGTGAACGAAGGGGTGGCGGGGGCTGACTTTAAGGGGTGTATGGGGCAGACCCTGAAGTAGGGAGCCGGGGATAGGGTTTGAGGAAAACGGGCTGGTGGTCCTTCCAGTCTCACTGGGCTTTTGCCTTTATGAAGCGGAAACAGTCCGTCCAGATACTGGGCGCTTAGAAAGCCCCAAGGAAATGCTCCCTCTGTCGCCTGTCACACTCACCAAGCCCCTTAGCCCCAGAACTCCTGCCCGCCTTGGCCGCAGGGAGCAGCCCCACCATTTGCCTGGCTGTGGGCCATTCCCTCAGAAGAGACCCAGCGCCCTCCTGCTGTCCCCATCATCACTCACCTGGGCCAGTGCAGACCCTCTGCTGCGTCTCCGGCTGTGCCCTTGGTCCCCACGGTCTGTTACCCAGACAGCCAGAGGGGTCCTGGTGAGA